AACTTCAAATGGGTACCTGTGGAATGAGAAAGAGAATCATGGTTTTGCTAAAATGACCGAGAATCGAAACAACAGCTAGCGTCATCCCAGCCCAGTAGCAAAACGTGTCACCAACGAATACTCGTGCTGGGTACTGAAACTCAATAATTTATTTGAAAAATCCTAAAACAAACAGCAAGGACGGAGGTTGGCAAAAAGCAACAGCAACGCGAAACGAACATATCTGATTACTGCTCACCTTATTAAACTGATAAAGTGCTAAAGTACATGCTAAGAAAGGTATTAGGAAATAAAGTGACAACATATGATCCCAATGTTGATCCTCAACACGATTGACCTGAACCAGGATTTTTAACTGAACTTCAAAGTAACAAAGAAAAATGAATGGAAGTTTACCTGAATTAGATTGAAAACAACAACGCTTGATGCAATGACTAGTGCTTGTCCGCTTTCAAGACCATTTATGCCTAAATTTCGATGGAAAAAAATTAAAATAATGTTGCACCAAGACAAACGCTGAAAATCAAAAAAAGATAATTTAGGAGAATAAGCACTGACCTGCTAAAATGTTGATGGCGTTTGTGCAAAAAACAACAACCATACACATAAATACATAGTAAAGATAATGGATATTGATTGTCGAAGGAACTGTTTGAAATATCCATGAAGGCACAAATGGAGCAAGCAACGTGCGAATTGTTAGCGGAATAACAACTGTTGTGGAACCTCCTGGAGAGCTCGAGATGACATCAAAAAAATATGAAACACTTGTTGAGAGGGATAGAACGGAAGAAAAAAGTCTCGCCAACTGAAACAAATGCTAACGGCAAAAAATTAAGAAGGACAAACCTGAAACATAGTAGACCATAAGGACCGGCAGGGAAGAAAGCGTTGGGAAAGCTAATTTATGGCGCCACTTTAGGTCAAGAACATCATCAGCAAATCCCAACAAGATTGCAGTACAAATGGAGATCAAGCCAGATAAAAACGCCAAAAACTTCGAATATGGGAACTCTGATCTGAAAGTGCATGAACTAAGAAAAAATAACTGTAGAGCCAAGCAGAAAATCTCACTCGGTTCCAAGCCACTCGGCAAACGGAAATGGGATAAATAAAAACATAATAATAAGGTACGCGGCAGCACAGATAACACCCATAGGCTCAGGAACAGGATCGTCGCTCTTCTAAAGGCACAAGAATTGCATGGTTTCCTGTTAGCCTAGTACATTCAATACAGAGTTAATAGGAAAAAAAGTCAAAAGGAAGTGGAAGAAAAACAATGAAAATAACTCAATCAGAAAGAAAGGAAATTGAGTATTTTTCAAAATGATTTACCTTGCACTGATCGTTCCCATACATTTTCCTTTGTATGAATATTGGAATATACTCCTTGATAAGACTAGCACAAGTAAAGTAGCCTAATAAGGAGAGAACTGCGTTAACGGCTACGGAGAACTCAGTCATAGCTACCTGAAAACCAAACGATTTCAAAGTGAACAAAAGCCATCCCCACAATTGACATCATTGGACTGAAAGTGCTTGAAAACATCACATGGAGCAAGTAAGTCTGGAGATCGTGCAGAGATCAAGAAGCGAAGGGAAGTTTTTTAATGCAGAGCTTTAAAAAAGTACATACAAACTATTTGAAAATCTCGTGAAACACACTATAAGATTTAGAAAATCTGGAAACTCGAATATGAATGCGTTACTGCATTACTCGGTGCACGGAAATTTTGTGTGCGCATACGGCCTAGGGCCACTTTGCGCGTGCAATCAGTTTCATGTTTTGAATTACTCAATGAGATTACGTTGGAACAGGAAAGCTAGGAAAGTTGGCTATCTCAGGCTGATATTTTATGTAAAATTTAATGAATTTAAGACAGGTGAGAATGATCTTACAAATAGCGAATTGCCGCCTTATAGTTGGTACGCTTATGTTAAAGATGGATAGACATGCTTGTAAGAAAACATCTGTGCCATCGTCGTCAGCCTCTGCAAGCATTTATGAACTACTAGGGGGATAAGAACTAGGTAAGTGAATAGAGTTTTATTTTTAGGGCTATATCACCAACGCTAGGTTCTCTTGTTGAGACTTCGTGCAAGGATAAGTTATATTTAAAGGTTTTTGAAGATGAAGAAGTTGGATGTATTTGGCGTCAATAACTACCTTGATTGAAGTTTTATATGCCTGCCGTACTTGTATGACATGATTTTGTGAATA